TTACTTTGACATGTCTAGATTTTCGGAAAGAAAATATAACAATATATGAACGGGTAAGGTATCAGTCTATGATATAGGATGTCAGTACAGATAAAATACTTGTCAAACGACTCAGTAACCATAACCAAACACAGGTCATGGATTTAATCTATTATCAGAGATAACTAGTAATTCAATCTTAAACATTACAAAAAAAGCAAATTATGGTGAACAAAACCATTTCATTTAAAAAAATGTTTTATGTTTAAGATGACTAAATATAACAGTTTAAATCGTTTCTGCTGTGTTACCATCTATTTGAATCTGTTCAGGTAATCAACTAATTCATGAACATGTTTTGACACCGCTTATGTAACACATCTAAAAGTGAGTTTTTCCTTCTAATAGGGAACTGTCCATAAAGGCAAAGTAATCACAATATTTTACATTGACTTTCAACACAAATTAAGGAAAAAGGAATGGCGCGTAAAAGATAAAGGTTTCCGTTTTATAAATCTGTTAATTTCTTTATCTGCCTACTTACTTCTTATACGGATTCGTTTTATACTTGGACAAAACAAGACTTGCTTTCAAACAGTAATCAAAGCACTGAATGTACTGATGGGGCGGCTATGACAGAATGTTTCAGACTTATAGTTTCTTTTCTTTTTGCTTAAAATGTGCTGTTATTTCAATTATTTCCAAAATAAGAAGATATGCACATTGTGTCATTTATCCTTACTGTTGTGTTCAACCATTCATATATATGGTTAATATGGTTGACTATTCATTTTGTTAATATTCCAGAACATTTCACTGAGGTCTACATTCGGACTGCTAATCCTGCAAATTTTGAAAAACCTAAACTGTCAATAATACATGACATACCAGAAAGTATGACGACTGTTCATTATAAGATAACAATAACATTTTACAACTGACTGTTCCATATCAAAATATTCTAGGACTGTTCATCATAAATACTTTATGTCATTTTAATATCATTGAATGATAATAACAACTGCAAGTTATGCAACATTTTTATTGAACATAAAAATTATACATATTTACATGTCATGTACCATAATTGAGATCAATAAGATACTGTCTTGTGATGAGTATTAATATCCATGCTCTACGGACAGAAAGATGTCTTCTTCCGAAGCAAATCTGGAATAAAATCACGTTTCAGAAAATTATTCCCATTTCATTACTCGTCGATGACTTTGACGGCTTCGGATATTTATTAAAACTAAATATTTCTTGAAAAAATACATGTCTGCAAGGCTTATTCAAAATTGAATCAACCTAAGTGAAAACAATATGATAACAAGATCAACAAGGAAAGGCGGCGTTCAATGAACGCAACCCCCATATGACCCAGCAACAAGAACCAACGGCAAGGAGCCCAGGCGGACCCCGAACAAAAACAGGACAGGGCAAAGACAGAGCAATTGATCAGGAAGTTATATCTTCTTTTTTTACCGCCAACACTCAACCAACTTATGGTAGTTAATAGATAGATTTTTAAACCTCACTAGCTTGAAATATAACTGCGGAAAATCTATTGTTAACAGGGTGTGCGGTTATTACGTAGGGTTTTCCCTGTCGACCATTTCCCGCAAATAGATGAGAACATCGAAGCGTCAGTGCTATGAATGGTGTTATAATTTATAAATAGCGTGTTTTGGAAGTTTTTTGTTGAAACTTCTCCAAATCCCTCCAGAGGCGTGCACGTCGCGGAGAAGGCACACGGCAGGTCAAGGTCAAGTCATCTCAAGTACCAGAGGTGATTGGTTGACCTGTCGTGACTTACTCTGGAGGTTTGGCGCTAATGAATGCCGTTTTTGTTGTCGTCAGTCAGGAAGTTGATGCCTTGCCAGTATTGTCGTCTCCTTTACCACCAACGAACGAAGAATGGGCTACCAGGAAGATTCGGCTTGAAAAAGACGTCCCCGATGCTATAATCTCGGACATATGGTTATTCCGGCCCCGAGTATAAATAAACTTAAAACACACACACTTTTGTTGAAAACAAAACAAAAAAAACAACAACACATTTTCTGTAGTATTTTTTCAAGTGTTGTAAAATGAATACGAAATTCCTCTTATGCCGCCGATTATTTTTAGAACACAAACATATAAGTTTTTTTATTTGATTTATTCAAATAAACATTAATCACTTCAGCGCCCGCAAATATCGTTTTCAAATTAAAGTTTCGTAAGATATGTTGATGAATTCCCGATGCTAAACTGTAAGTCATTCGTATATATATGCGTTTTTTGTTGTTTTTTGTTGTTGTTTTTTAAGCCTCTTATTCTTTAATATTTTTTATGTATCTCATAATCTGTATTGAAAATTTGAATTTTATTACACAAGGACTATCAAATTATGATGCGTTGCCCTAGAATTGAATAAACTTTCTAATTACACAATACGGGATCATTCATTTGATTGAAGACTGATCTTTGCGTCTTTGCGTCTTTCTCTGAAATAATTATTTCCTTGTTAAAACATATTTGACCACATATTTCTGTCATTTAACTGTTCACTTTACAACTATATGATATAGCGGTTTATGAGCGTTTTCCGCGTACAGCCTCCTAGGGTGTACTAATAAGTTAGTTTTCCTTAGTTATCACGCAAGCACGATCCATGTCTCTGATGTAAACGACAATTAACCATTATTTGTCTTTAAAAAATATTAAGGACTATTAATGGTTTATATCAACAAAAGAACATGCATGATATTGAGACTACGGTGTTGCAACGTTCTAGTTAATGACCCGTCATAAACAGTTGGTCGCTGCGTAGTAATTGGAAAATTGTTATCAAAAAAATAAAGAATATTTGCCACCTAATTAAAGCATTTACTTATGAATTGTCATTTATGCTTTTTGTTAAAAAATTATTGATAAAATTATTATGTAGAAGGGTTTTCATACCAGAACTATTTATTACAGACGTACGTATGCCTAAACCTGATTACCGCGGCAGTATGACGTCACGGAGTATTGATTTTGAAAAAATAACAAACAAAAATCAAGAATTTTTCAGAGAATTATTATCTGATATGAAATTAAAGAATGAAAATATTTTCATATTGTAAATGTCTGTGATGAGTGATGACTGATGAGTCAGCTTAGAAAAAATCAAGGTACTATTTTTTGACCTGATTACCGCGGCAGTAAGATTTGACGAACGGTATTAACATTGGGTCGGCAAAGCCTCCCCAAAAAATGAATCATAAGATGTGACTTTAAATTGGCCTTGAGTGTCAATGTCATATTAATGAAATCTTAATGAAACTTGCTTTTACTTGTAAATTATAAATGGATTAATTTCATTTTAGACACATTATTTCTAGGTCAGACCTTCATGTATATCAAACTCAAGTTTTCCTTGAATAATGTATGACCTTGACCTTGAAGGTCAAATTATTTAATTTTCTCTGTTTATCGCTATAAATTGGGTGTCACTTGCATGGATTGTTTTCTTACTTGGTCAAAACAACTTTTTGAACAAGACATTCTAAAGGATTGAACTGACCTGACCTTACTTTTAGCTTTATATGACCTTGACCGTTAAGTTCAAAAATTGAATTTTGGTTGAGTTGCCTTAGTTTTGTTATTTTTGTACGAATTTGATTTATACGTGGCAAAAAAAACACTTGTGACTAAATAGACATAAAATAATACAGGTATGGCCTTGACCTTAAAATGACTTTTGCCATCAAATTTTTGAATCTCGTTTTTATTTTCTTAACTTTATTCATTTATTTAGGGGAAAAAATCAGCTTGGACAAAACAACGTGTGTGACTAGACAGTCATATTTAAATCAAAATATGAAAAACTTATTATTTAATTTAATTTTTGCTTTTAAAAGTTTGTTTTGTTTAAACCGTTTTTCTTTGTTTATGTGCATATAGAAAACGTAAAAAAGTCGAGCGGTGCCCTCGGTCGTTAACAAATGTCATGATGGAAAGTTCTATTTAGCTAAGCATTATTTTTGAAGTCGATGTATTTAATTAACGAATAAGAGCTTTTATAAAGCTCTAAAACTATGTCGAGAGCTACATAATAGAAAACGTAGCAGTCTTCGATAAAAACAGTTAATTACTCATGCTTATTTAACAAGGGAAAAACGTTTATTCTAGACTATTTTCATTATTGTAAATACAGGTGACATTTAAAGTATTAGCTTATGTGTATGAAATAAATTACAGCAAATAGGAATAATACGCCAAACGCAAGTCATTAATTTTAATGACGGTCATATTTCGATATTTAAATATGTAACTTACTGTTTTGATGTTGTCGCTAAAGCTGCAAATTCTGTTTACCATTAAGCATACAAATGCATGGGAGTTGGACCTATATGTTGTTATATTTATTGTAAAGCTATTATAGTTAAGAATCAAGCTCGTTATTTTTTTTTTCTATTTAAATCGTATCATTTGGCAGAAATCTATAAATAGAAAAAATAGATATGCGAGACCAGCACAAAATGTCGTTGTAGCATTTCTTTAGTTCACCCATTGTTTAAACTATAACTGAACTATTAACAAAAGCGATAATGTCTGCATAATGTGTGCTTTAAATGCATGTATGAAATTGTAAAAAAGCAATTCAATCATAAAAAGATCTACATGATTGATACAGTTGAACAAATGAAAATTTATATTATCTTCAATAGATGTATCAGTCTGACAGCAAGCATTACACGTTCAATCACGTTTTTTTCCTGCGGAAGATGGATCACATACCAGTGCATAAACAAAATCGATTGATCGATAATCAACCTTACGCATACAACCTATAAATGTTTTTAACAAACCCAACTGAAACATGATAACCGTCTTTCAATAACTTCTTTTTTAGCTTATCAACACGTTATATCTATATATAAACCATTTTGTTCAGCCTTAAGGTATGAGTTTTGAATTTTCATTGGCTAACAGGCAAGCGGGTTCTTAAACCGTAGCGATAATACAAAAGCGTTGAAACTTATAATTCAAACTGTTTAAATTCAAGCAAATGAGGCAATATATTGAACTAAATTCTTAAGAATATTGTGATAAGTTTTATGTGATCCTATGTACAAAAGTGGCCGTGATTTTATTTAAACATTTGAAATAAAAACATTTAAAAGATGAACATGGGGCTTAATCTAGATAAAACTTGATTCAAAACAATATAATTGGATTAAAAAGGATACTTTATCGTAAGTTATACATTTTAAAACTTCTATAACAAATGTTTCTGTATCAGTTTAATGATTTGGTATTTTCATTTGTACTATAATTTCACCTTTTAAAGCAAACATCGTTTTCATGGTACAACAGGTGTCTGATTTATGTTTGGTTTTCTTTTCAAACATATGTCATTAGAATATTCAAATACTTTTTCTCGGTCAGTTTCGGTTTCAAAATTTAGACTTATCGAAACACAGAATTTTCGGCTCAATGTCAATGACATGAAGCAAGCGTTGATGTGAAAAAAATTATGTCCATACCAATTTAATGGAGGATCTTGAATACTTCGGTCGGATGCCGAAGTTAAACAGTAGATCAAGTCATGCATGGGTAAAAACAAGTTTGGCTCAGTTCAAACATAGCGATGAAATGCAATACTGTAAATATATTGTATTTTACAAACGAATATTAAAGACATGAATACCGCTTTATTTTTTACCGAAACTTTTTTTACACATTTTCTTTACCTATAGAGAGAAGGGTCCTTTCTTTATTTTATAATGAACCTACCGTTTTTATGTATACATATTTTAATCAATACAAGTAGCAAACGATAGAGTGTGGATCAATAAATTCGTAAACTAATTCAATAGCGTCAAAACTACTGGTCCGTTTAAAATGAAACTTCAAATGCTTTGAAAACAGATTATTTCAAATTGTATCGTACTATGTACACAACTATGACGTCATCACTTATGGCGTCACACATCGTCAACGAACAGCGCAACACAAAACTAGGAAAGTCTTTTTCCGATATTCGTGTAGATTTGCATAAAGTTTACTGAGAGTATGCTCTGTCAAAAGGTGTCATTTTAAAGTAGATGAAGCGGGTTAAAGACGGCAGAAAGGCAACTGAAGACGACAGTCATGCTGGTAGACCAGTTACTGTAACAGATAAAGAAACAGTGGCTGTCATTCAAGGGTACATACCTCTAGATAGACGAGTAAATGTGGAACACGTAGCAGATAAGTTCGCTATTTCATATGGTACAGCTTAGGGCATTATGACTGATAGGTTATGAATGCGCCGCGTTTCAGCAAGATGAGTGCCTCGTTTGTAGACGTTGGGGCAGACTGGGGTAAGGGTGAAAATGTGTCAGCAGTACGACAGGATGTATCGTGAAGAAGTGGATTTCGTTCTTAATCGAATGAAAACATGTGATGAAACGTTGATTCACTTTTTTGAACAGGAAAGCAAACGTCAGAGTTCTGTTTGGAAGCATCCTTCCTCGCCTCCCATTACAAAAACGATAATTTCCAAGTCAGCCGGGAAGGTTATGGCCATTATATTTTGTGATGCATACGGTGAAGTGCTTAACTCCTTTGTTTCTCCGAAACGACAGTCACTGGGAATTATTATGCAACATTACTTAGAACGGAACTCATGGTGGCGATAAGGAGATAACGCCCACATATACTTAGTTCCGGATTGCACCACGACAACGCGCAGATCTATTCAAGCCACGTTGTCAGGGATACACTAGAAAACTCGACGTCGAACTGTTACCGCATCCAGCAATTTGGGACTTCTGGCTGTTTCCGACTTTAAAAAACAGTCTTCGTGGTACATAATTTGAGTCAAGAGAGGTGAGGTGTGCCGTAGACAGACAGCTGCATGAGATGTCACATGACGAGCTACAACACGTGTTCGAGTCATGGGTCGAGAGATGGGACAAGTGCAAGTCTTGCATTGGACGTGACTTTGAGTAGGAGTAATCATTTTAGGTACTTAAATTAATTAATTTCCCCGTTATTGAATTAGTTTACGAATTTATTGATGCACCCTCGTATAAAACACATGTACAAAAAGCCAAATCAAATATTTCAAAACAATCTCAGAAATCATGACGCGTGTAAACAATTATAGAGGTTTTTATACCTTTAATATAATGATCAGTGAGGTCTTAACGGGTGCAGACTGTTAAATATTAATTTTAATGAAAGTATAATTAAATAAATGAATGTAACATATCTAATACAATGGTTTCACAGAGCATGTTAGGTCAAACTGTATTTTTAAGCGATATCATTTCAATGGATAAAAGGAGCTGTTGCTTGTACAACGGAAAAAGGACAACATCTGATTCATTGTAGGCTTCGTAAAGTGTTAATGGTAATCGGTCTTTCTAAAGGTAGATAACACATCCCATATTAATGATCAACATAATTTTTTGTCCAATCACATTGTAGTATTTTTTCAAATTTCTACTAAGTCTTACTTTGGTTAAAGTGTACTAACTAAATAAAATTTACTTAATCTGTCGTTTAACCAGTCTAACAAATTTCAGAAATGCATTATATTAGGGAGGAATAAGAGGTGTGGTTTGCACTCTGAAATGGAAAATATAAAGGTTAGCAAAACAATGCCAACGTAAAAATAATAAGGCTTTCTAAATGTGAGGATACAGTCAATTGCTTTATTACATAGATAATACATGTGGGGCACGCAGAGACAAATGATTACATACTGTAACATAGTAACTTATTTATATCCTTTTAACTCTAATAAAAATATCTGTTATAAATTGCTGACTGTTTTAACTTTATATTTTCTAGAAAAAGTAACCAAAAAATTATTTTCTTCACTTGATAGGATTGAACTGCATTAACAATCCAATGATATTAAGAATACAATGATTACATTTTTGGCTGGAAAACTCATTGTAAACTGACCCCCTCCACCTGTAAACTGTTTTACAAATAATTAATAATCTCTTATGTATTTTTCTCACATTTTCCATTTATTTTAAAAGGATGTACACATTTCATTAACTCCATTGTTTTTACCTACATGTAGATAAAGGTATAGACTCTGTGACATTTCAGTAAAAATGTGCCTGATTATATGTTGAAAGGGCCATTTATTTAGCTTATCTAAATATGAAATGTTAGAAACTTGACAAGGTGTAGACATCTTGTAGAGGGAAAGGGCGGAGCTATCAGTGATTTAGAGAAATGCCTTGTTTTTGTGAAAAAAATAATGTTGATCATTAAATAGGTTAATGTTTAATAATATGCATTAACAAAAATAATTGGTCGCCTATTCAACACTAACCTATACTAACCTATGCTTAATGTGTTATTAATATAAATGATTTTGGAGAGATTTTTCAAAAGTTGCAAGTCACGGCAAAAAGACTGTTTAGTTGATATTTTACCACAGGTGCAAAATAATTAAATAATGACACATGCGTCAGAATAATAAACTATTATTTGAGAGTTAAAAACTCATCGATTTTAACAGCTAATATATACTGTTCAGGGTGTATGAAAAAATAAATCACATACAAAGATAATTATAAGTGTTTACCAATGCTACAAGTCACAAAGTTATAATTACAATTCAATGGCACGGCTCCAAAATATTTCAATATAGTGACAAAAAGAAACAAACACAAAAACCAACAAAAACAACAAAAAAACAAAAAACAATAACTTCAAAACATCCATGTTTTATTCTATAGACTTACTATAGTTACTTCCTCTTAAATGCACCAGTTTCCCATGAACTGCCAGGAGTTGGTTGGAAGATGTATGTTTAATATTCAGACGCCTTTGTCTTTATAACATCATGGAGTGTGTGAAAATGGATGGTATTTCAACATATCTGAGATGGTTTCTTTTAACTGAAAAAAAGTATCCAATTTAAGCCGGTGCTAGGGAACTACTGGGCGGAAACTTGCACTGACCAGTAATATTTATTAACAGGCTCAGTCAAACTGAGTCTGCAACATTTGTAATTTTGCCGTCTTGTGCGTTCATTAGTCATTCCGTTTTTCTGAATTGAGTAAAATGTTAAAATTATGCAATTTTAAATTAAATAGCAGCAATAATAATAATAATTTACTCCAAAGTACATGTGTGACATTAGATAGGCAAATAAATATGCGTTAATGACAAATGGAATCACGTGTTTCATATCTAAATGATCTTGAATACCATTAAAAAAGAATTAGTCAACTGCATAATTCTTAATTGAAACGTATACAGCTGAAGAACTGTTAGAAACCGAATATGAAAAAGGCAATCAATCATGAATGCTACCATAATAATTGTGTACATGAAGTAATAATCACGAATATCAGAGAACAATTATAAACAATGACAGACTGGTGATTTCATTATGTCATCATATGAAATATTAAAAACGTTAATTAATTAAATAACATTTGATATTGTATATTTTGTCTGGTCTGTACTTTAACATGGTTCTTGAACTACCCAAAACTTTGATATTATCAAAGAGATGTTAAAATTCAATTAAAACTTATTCCGTAGGTTATTATTATATATAGGCCTGATGTAAGTAATATCTGTTAAATTTTTTAAAGTAATAACTTGTAAATCTATAAACGTTAAAGTTATTCATTATAATGCCATTATTATCAAATTATATTTTCTTTGATTTATTGATTTCAGCGAAACAACATATGAAAGCTGTTTCAATTATGGCGTTGTACTTGTATGGCGTATTAACCAATAAGATGACTAATCACTTAGTAACTTGCCCGTAATGAAGCCAGTCCCTCATACTTTCGGTTTTATCTTGTAAATATATATATTGGGTTGTAAGTTCTTTTATTTATGCTGCAGTTGTCAATACATAGTTATAATCTTTATCGTAAACCAAACGCTCAATTTGCATTTGAAAACATTTATCATATATTAATTGTGTTCAGTGTGTTATAATAGTTTCAGTTATAAAGTTCAAATATTCTTTGACATATTTGATAAAAAGAATTTATATTACAATTATAAGGTAATGTGATAAGGAAATACGAAAAAAAAAACAGATTAAATCCATTTTACCTATTAAATATACATGATATGAACATTCTTTTACCAATTGTTGTTCATGCTTTTAAATCTTACGATCCGTCGTATAATATGATAATATGTTTTTCAGGCATGCAAATTGAATAACGATTGATTTCTATAGATATCATTCATGTCAATAGATCAATAGACCGTAGTGTATTGAATAACAATGGCTCTTTAAGTGGGGTATAAATGCACAAAAACAGACATATCATGTCCTTCAATTTAAAAGATAAAATCACCATGACCACTTTGTAAATTTAGAAAAGAAAAATTGCAAACTAGTTTACAGCTACATTCTATTTTAAACTTTATCTTATATTTGAAAATTATATCGTCTAATTTGCTCACATTGAATAACCGAATTGAAAAGAAAAACAATTTGTAGCGAAGAAACGCACAAATAGGATATCTGCACTGATGTGTTTTATCATACGTGATACCTTTAAATATGATAAACAGCAAATGCATGGTCAGTGGAAATCGATTTATAACAGAAATTTAACAAATATAAGATTAAACTATATAACGAAAGGCACCTATATTTCACTGCTGTAAATATTATATTATCACTCGAAGTGAATAAACATATGACATTTGCACATATACGTATTCACTTGTTAGTTAATCTCTAAAGAGAGATATCGTGGAAATCAATGTACATCATACTTTATAAATGTTTTTGGCAGACACCTACCTTCATCACTGGAATAACTTTTCTCTCCAACCCTCCCAACATTGGTATCGAATTTCTATCGATCTTCTGTTTGCTTTACATTTTTTATTTAGTAGAAGAAATGTCATTGAAAATTCAAACTTTTCAAACCTGTCGGTAGGATAGGGAATTTGGCTATTCTCAGTGCCTGATAGTTAGAAAATGGCTATAGCTTTGTAGAAAGGTAACACACGCTTATTGGATCTGTACTAATAATGTTAGATAACCACAGATAAATAAAATGTGAGTTTTCAACCAATTCTCTTCAGAAGTTTTAGAAATGCCAACTCTCACTCAAAACGTTAAGTTGGACATATCTAACTTCGTGCAATAGATTTTAATATTCATCGAATTTTTGACCTTCCTTTATATGCTTTAGTTACAATTGACCTTTCTGGTGTTCATTTGCATAACTTAAAACGTACTGGAGGTACAAAATACAAATTCAATGCAAAGAAATTAGACTTATTTTCTAAAATGATAACTGAACATATACCTTAAGTTTATTTTGATATTTTCCTGCGTAGTACTGTGTCCTTCGGATTTATTCAGAGCATTGCATTAAGTGAATATGATGTATTAACATGAAACATTTTAAAGTATTATTTGAAATTATTGTCATCAATGGCTATATTAATCCCGACAGTCGCAGTTTTGTTTATATAAATTGGAAGCGGCGTTTATAAACGATTTTATACCAGCTTTATTTTTTTAGTTCAGACGGAAACGTTCATAATCATCGTTCATTTTTTTGTAGCTCTAAAAGTGATGATTTATTCTTTTGTCATTTTTTTTTTCGTATCCTGTAACAATTTTCTAAACCAAAATCAGTGTCCATATAGCTAACCCATAATTTTCTTCTCTACTTATTTTGGCATTAAGTATAGTTACAGAGATTTGGTATTTTGTGTGAAAGTCTAAATACAAATGTACATTTATTATAACCAATGATCAGTAAACATAATTCTTTTCTTTTTCATTTTCATTTGGAATACACGCAATTATCTTAACAATCATGTATCACAACGTTTCTTTTCCATTTTAGATACCTGTGGCTAGCAGACAAATAAAATGTCTTCAGTACCGAACCCTACTTTGTCAAAACCCAAATTTCTGAATTGGATTAAGGCTGCATTGGCTGTTCTTTTCGCAAAAGAAGAAATCGAGCCTGTTGTTGTTGATGAAATCGTACAGTTCCAACAAAAGTGTCTTCAGGATATTTCTATATCAAACGGATTATCGGCGGGGAGCACCTGTTCAAACTGTAACACTGAAAATATTGTTGTTTGTCCAACAAATAAGATTTGCAACGTCAATCGAGGAAAATGTGGTTACCATAGGAACCGTGCAACACAGTTTCACTCCAATGGTTGCCCGAACAAAATTTGCCATTATATGAGATCTGAGATTCAAAATGCTCATCGTTTTAATGGTCCATCTTTTAAAAACACCGATGCGACTCAGTGGTGTAGTAATCCGTGGGAAATTGCGAAATGTTTTATGCCCCCTGATGGTTACAAGGATGTAATGAATGCAGTAGATACCGATTTTAATGGTATAGTCAGTGTAATTGTTAACTTCAAAGCATTTGAGACAAAAATAAACAACGATCTCTCCAAAAGGAACAACATATTTGACAAGGTACCAGTTTAAACACGTTTGTTTACCTTTTTGTATGTGCTTTTAAAGACACTTATATTTATATGATAATTGAATAGAAACATGAATAAATAGAATTAAACCTCACCCCGCGCCCCACTAATTGACGTATGATTTTGCCCCACGACCAGCCTAGCCAAAATTCAAATATTTAAATGTTTAATTGATGGAGCCATTAGTTATTAAATTTTGCCCAGCGCCCCCGCAAGTTTGCGTGTTTATACTTCGTGATCCCGCAATTTTATTTATTGAATATAGCTCCGCGCTCTCGGAAGACGTTTTATTTATAAAATTGCATTTCCGCGTATAACCATGTCCACGCTCCGCGAACCCCGCCATTTTATCTTGTTTATTCTCGATATTTCGCATGGCGGGTTTGCTGGGCGAAAACATGAATGGCACATATCGGCCACTATAAAACTTAGCTTATAAGTTTTGTGTCATTTTTCATATTTTTTAGGGTAGAAACGTTGGTAAAGCTGTTAGACATTCTCCAAAACTAGAGGTCGAGGATGCAGATCTTACACAGTATTTTACAATTCTAAATGATATATTGACTGATCCTGGATTCATAGCTTTAAATAAAGCACCAAACAACGCAATTCAGAAATTAGCAAAGGTATGGTTATTTGTTTGTGTTCGTCTATTTTCTTAACACAGTATTAATAATGTAAACTATCTTTATGCTGCAAAGCTTGGACAGGAAATGACTGTTTTCCTAATTGACGATCTAATATATTCTTTAGCTACATTGTCTCCAACCAATTATGCCCAATCTGTTATAAGGGCTTTGGCATTTTTGCAATTAATGTTAATGGAATTGGCCTTCATCACTTCATCATTCATTGTGCCAAAACAGCATATTGTATAGAAAAAAGATTGACTTTATTTAAATCAGCACTCCTTTACAATTTCAGCTTCAAATGGATGAATTGATCATTGGTAAAGATGTTGTTCGCGCAGTTTTGGAAGATGTAGGCAATGTTATCCAGGAACAAATAAGAAACGAGATGGATGAGTTCAAACAAAAGACTGATAAACAAAAAATAGAGCTTATTGAAATAATAAATTTGAAAGTAAAAGATATTGCTGATGAGGGAAATATTTCACTGTCCAAGCTAAAAGATACATTCACGTCGTCAATTGATGCTTTTGAGGCCAAAGTCCAAAAAGCTATTCAAGAGATAGATAAGCAGAAAACAAAGGGGGAGAGAAAGTTAAAAATTGTTGCTAAAGAGGAGGTTAAAAAATTTAGGGAAAAGGGAGCAAATGTAATAAAAGAGATACAAAAAGCTGTGGAAAAACGTAAGATATCTTATAGAATATTTACATATGCGTACACAATGATATATGCCATTTCAAGCATGTCAAACAAGTGTTTGATCAAACTTTTGTTCAAGATTTCTTCTATCTATAGGCATATTTAAATCAGTTGCTTCTGTAGATTAAATCAAATGATGAAAATGCATCCGAGGTTTATTATTTTCGATGGCATTTAGAATAAGCATGTGTTGTGTAACATTGATATTCCAAGATTTCTCATACAAAACATATGATATTTTCAATTTTCAGCCAGGGATATTGATGCTGATGCTAAACTGTCGGAGGAAACATATCAGAAACGAACAAAAGGTAATGAACTATTATGATTAATATTGATTTATTTTAATAAATTGCTTTCTTTTCCCTTCTTGTTAATATCTCAAGCTTGACATTTTACCTTGCTTATGAATATTTTGCAATTGCATGAACAGAGACGTTATTGTTGCACAGTTTAGTTTCGCATTCCTCAACAACTGCGATGCATTTTAATATATGTTTACTTTGTGCATTGAATTGTTGTATATTCAGTCAAAGGTACAAAGACAAATGAAAAATATACAATTTCAGGGGCGATGTGTATTTTAAAGGAATATCAAATAATATATTTTCAAGAGAGATGGTTTGTTCACATTATTCCTGCACAATTTAATTACAAATTAACTTTTGAACGTCTCGTGATATCAAAAATAACTGATAATTCTTACATGTCTGTTATTATGTCGCTATATACAAAGAAGTAAAATCTTATATTGTCAAGAAAACAGAAGCCTTTAAAGGAACAATAATAACGCAATTGTACAGTCCGTTCTTATACTATTTTATTTTCACTTGATGTTAAATTGACATCTAGCATACACCTTTATACCACAAATTATATACATGTATGAAGATATATTTTATATAAGTAACATGTAAGGGAACTCGTAAACAGCGTAATGACGTCCTTATGTATGCATCTCTTTCATAAGGGAACTTAACTGACGTAATTCTAAACAGTCAAGTTTAGGTGATGAAGATTGATTCATCGACACAAAACAATCAAGTTTAACTGTTGAAACATTGATAAAATAATTCATGAAAAATGAGTGAAACATCTTTTCTTATGATTTCTTCTTTTCAATGAATACTATACATTAGCTTCAGAAGGATTCTGTTTTTCCCTATTTTATTGTCACATCCGTGCCATTTGTGCCGTGTGGCGGCTGTAAAAAGTCTCCCCGTACATTTAATCAATGATGTTATATTGTCGATCCTTGAAGATCGTTCAGCACAACATTATTGTTGTGTATACATGTTATGTGGTACTTTTAGTTTCTTCTATTTGGCCATTTTCAACTTGGGTGGTTCCAGTATTCCTACTTGAATACTATATAATCCCCTTTACGATATGCTGCCTGCTTTTAAATTTGTCTTTTGACGTCTTATCTGTGATATGCAGGCTTCATAACCTCAGATCCCCATTCAAAATTCCATTTTGTTTAGTTCCGCCCATTGTTTTCTCGTTTAGGGCAAGAACATTCTTTTACTTGGGGACCATACGCCGCTTTTCATGGAATGGCACAACTGTGTCTCATTGACGGTACCATGATAACCGCCGCATGAACACATCTGCGGATGTTTCTAAATTCAAAATTTCACCATTTTCGTGTTTTCATGTTGAATTCTGCTTAAGCCCGGTGCCAGAGGGCGTGGACGTAACTTGCACTTTCCAGTACCGTCCATGAACAGGCTCAATCAAACAGAGCAACATTTGTGTAGGAATTATTTGAATGAGCGCATTTTTTTGCGCAGAACTTCTCAATTTATACCTGGTATACAAAAGATATTGCAGTTCAAAATTACAAATACGATTTTCTTAAAATGACAAAAAAGAAATATAAGTAGATTTAAGCCAATGCACGTAAGATGATATTAGCTAAAATCTTAGAGCGATGGTGTAAACGTTTGACTAAAGGCCAAAAGCGACTTATACCAAATCAGATGATAACATTTTACTGAACAGGTAAACTAGCAAAGTATTTATAATTTTGTCGGGTCATAAAGTAGAACATCGACTGGTCATGGCGTATGCATTAAAGTTTGATGTAATATGGAGGAAATGATGATACCCTCAGAGGGAGAGAATAATACTTCATTGACACAATTACTGATTGAGAACTCGCAGCAGCTCCTGAATTACGAAAAGATTCAGATATTTTTCTGTCTCAGATGTGCTGGTCGTTTTGTAGCTCAAAATATTCTGGGTCAGGCTTCCTGTTGTATATGACGACCGCACTTCATTAAAACAGACATCTAAGTAATATCAGTTTGTTTAAATTCGGTCGGTATTGCAGACGAACTATATATTGAGACTAGTAATTTTGTAGAAATTAAGCAATTCTGCAGAAAAGCACCATTCGTGCTTCAGATGATTATTTATAACATTGATGTAAACATTAACAGGGTACATTTTCTAAACATTTAAAAAAAGTGTTCTTGAAATATTGCTTACCCTCTAAAATTATTGTGCCAGAGGGTTCTGTCAATAAATAGAAATACTGTATATCCCCCTCCTCTACATGCATAATGCACAAATATGATAGCTGTCAGTCTGTAAAACATGTTTATCATTTTGCAGACAACGCATTGAACCTAGGACTGTTTCCTGATATATGTTAACAGGTAAATAACATGGCCAGAAAAAGAGCCACACGGTGTTAAAACCAACCTTTTTATAGTCATTAATTTTTTTCCTGAATTTACTTGTTTACATAAAGACATATTTACATATTGCGCAAAATTTAAGGTGTTCAATTATTTTACTATATGAGAATCGACCATTGCAGTAGGCGAAGCTTAATTCTACACATCAGGAAACTGCATTTTTGGCCACTTAATAGTTTCATTTAACGATTTAACTTGATAGATATTGTGTACAATAAACAAATATACCGATAGGTGAAATAAAAATTTGAAAAGCTTTCAATGACAATTGGATGAAAAGCACTTGAAAGGGTAGAATAAACTAAAATATAACTTCACGTATAGTAAAAAATATCTTTTTTATAATTTCACAGTGAAGGTCTAATTTTCAAAAGTTCTTGTTTTTCATTAAGCTTTGTTTATTATTATGATCAACGCTTCCTACTTCATAAAAAAGAAAAACCGATAGCCTTAGACTTAAATGTGTTTAAATGGGACATGCGTTAACCAACACATTGGATTTGCAATCCGTAATCTGATCTGTATGTAATAACTGGGCAGTGCTAAGAGAATATTCAGAAATTTTGAAAAAAAGTCATTTCAATGTTTCTCGTGGCGGATTTTGAAGGATGTGAAAATATCACCCATGGTTTTTAGTACGGAATTCCGTAAAAAGCGCGAAGCTAGACTATTACGTTTGACGAAGTTCGACAGTACGATGTTGAAAATATAACAGTATGATGGTGACAATGCGATGAAGAAGCACGACGTTATACGGAGGTGATCGTCCATCGTAGTGTCGAACCGTAACCATCGTACTGTCGCAATGTCACCATTGTATTTACTTTAGTTTCTTTTTATGATTTGCAGTTGGTCTTCAGCTTCACTATGTAGGATATATATTATTGATGGCATGCTTTAAATATTAAGGTATAATATAGTAATTTTCTTGTAAATTATATAGTACATGTATAATACAGTCTCTTGTAAATTTGTTCAAATTTGCCATATATTTTTAAATATTGCTTTGTTATGTGTGGTATATAATGTGCATGTATTTTGATGAGTGTATAATAAAAAAAAAAAAAATACCATAGTGCTTATTAAAATGACAGTGAAACTTGTAGCTTCTTATAGCTATGCCATGTATGTTGTATATCTCAAAACTATGGAACAGAATTAGTGCATTTATTCCATCTTGCTTCATGATATTTGGACTTACATTATGCTTGCTTCCATACTTCTTTATGACATGGAAACCTACGTTTTGCTGAATTCAATCATGCCTTATGATTACTGAATGCACTATCATGTAATTGCAACTTCATGTCTTCCTTCCTGAACCATCAAACTCACACATTTTGATATGCTCTATGTTTAATTGCATCTTTTTTAAGGACAGCGTACTATGTTTGGTGTTTAAGATAAAATTATTTGCTTGTTCTTCATATAACTAGATGTATAATGTATCTTTAATTTTTCTATAAATCTGCCACTTACATTGTCGACACTGTTTCACAATAATTATTGATTTTGATCAATACTTGGCTAATTTGACCTGTCTTAGCATTCATAGGCTTTATGATATTCACTGATTACAAATATAATGCAATACATGATCAGTGCGCATCGACAACGACGATGACAACGATAGCAATAATTATAGTCGCATGTTACACTATGCACTACGCAGTTGGCGGTAAGCATAAGGGGGCAGGGGACATATTCGAATGATGGCCCCGGTCAAATTTTTTGATAACTCAGACATGGTGTTTTGAAGGTACTGATAACTTCTGATATTTCTCTGTCATTGTAATTCTTTCTTGTTTGTGTGTAGGAAATGAGATATATTTTTGGGTTTTTACCCGAAACTAAGCATTTTGGTAGCTTTGTATGTATTTTCTGACTCTCCGAATGGAGGTGAAAAAGTTAAAATTCAAGCTTTGACAGTTGGCGCCAAACAAGTAAGAAAATTTCAGATAATTTTTGTGAAAAATCTAAACGTATGACAGACACTTTATTTGTCATTTCTGAAAATGCCATAGCTTGCACTGCGTGTTACTGATATTTTTAAAGGAATCGGGCGGATTCTGGAGTATGCTGCACCTTCATGAAGATTGCCTATATTGGTATATTTTAGATGTGATTTTTGGCTGGGTGGGGGACTAAATATAAATTGCTGTCAGTCAATTTTTGAAGGAGCAATGCATGCAAACTATTATTTTCTTCAATGTATGTCATATATCATTAAATAATGCTGTGCAACTGGTTATCTGCCTGTGAAACAGATTTTGAAATATTTGGAATTGTGTTTCTGGTCAACACTGAAATACAAAATTTTTCATTTTTAGGTCCCTGCCCCTAATGCGAGTTGCAATATATTGTTTTTCATATTTATGACAGCAGGTGTCGCTTTGTTCGGTAGATCCCGTTATTTTCCGGATGGGTCCCGCTATTTTGGCACCTGGAGTAAACAAAGTTACGTACCCTTTATATAGGGGCGTATACCGAGCAGTGTTTAGATGGGGGGCTGACATGTAAAGTGGACAGATTTTAAGAAAATCAATAGAAAACGACGCGACAGGGAAAAGTTGCGTGTTTCTGAAGAC